CTAAAAAAATAACTGCTTATTTAAAAAAAAAGTTTTGTTTATATAATAATAATAATATTTGTTTATTATATACATAGTATGGGCTGTAATTTTTAAAGTTTTTAACATTATTGCTAAATATATCTATTGCTAACAGTATAATTTACTGTTGTTATTGATTTATATACAGTATTTATATATAGCAATGCTATAAACTTCAAAAAATACTTGTAAAATTAAACATATATATATTTTTTATATTTTAAATATTTAATTTTATGACCAAAAAACGCATAAATAATTTTTAGCTATGTTTAGTTTTGATTTCATATTGCAAGCATAAGTGTTACATAATATGTATTTTAAATATAAATTATTTTTGTGACTATTTTTAAATCACTAGAGACTTATATCTACTTAAAACTTAAAATTTTTTATGTGAACAGAGATGAGACAGGAATTGAATTACTTATTAACAAATAAATTATAATAAAAAAGATTATATTAAAAAAACATTTTTTTCGGTGCTCTAAACTAGTGACCGAATATTAAGATAGATTTTTGTTTTATATATATAAGGCATTAAAAATAATATTGGGATATAAAACAGTCATTGCTTTTTTTGCTGGTGTTGTTGTTGCTGCTGTTGTTGAGGGCCGGGAGGGATTGTTTGTCAAAAATATTTAAAGTATGGATCTCTCTCTCTCTCTCTCTCTCTCTCTCTCTCTCTCTCTCTCTCTCTCTCTCTCTCTCTCTCTCGTAATACAAGTATTTAGAGAGAGAAAGAGAGAGAATGTAATTATCAAAATACAGTCAATAACTGTTGGGTCATATATATAGATACTGGTATTGAAAAGTCAATACACTTTGAATTAAAAATGTTTATGATCTGAGAGGGAGTGAGTAAGTTAAAAAAGAAAGAGAGAGAGAGAGAGATATTCATGATACCAGTGCTTATATAGCATTGCATAACATAGTATTTATAAGTTTGAAAATTTTTATGGCAAATGAATTCAACTCACAAACAAAAAACAACTATAAATAAAATATAATAATACACTTTGTTATCTATAAAATATATATATAAAAAGTTAATGCATATTAAAAAGAGCTTATGGGAGCTGTCAGTTATCCCAAGCGCTCAATGAGGTCTCTCTCTATCTCTCTCTCTCTCTCTCTCTCTCTCTCTCTCTTTCTCATATATATATTTATATATATATATCCAGTCACTCATTTGCATACCTATAACTTGTCCAATGTGTCAATCAATTGGCCTCTTATGTTATTTTTGTTGTTGGGTAATACATGAACAATATAACATTATTATCATTATTAATAATGTTATTAATAGAGAGAGAGAGAGAGAGAGAGAGAGAGAGAGAGAGAGAGAGAGAGAGAGAGAGAGAGAGAGAGAGAGAGAGAGAGAGATGAGACAATTGTGCCATAACTGCAAAATTWAAAAAAAATTGTTTATTAAGCTGTTGGGTTGGGACAGTAGGTTTGCCACATAGACATCATCATCAACAACAACAGTTGTATTTTAATTCCTGGTGTCACTAAGCTCTGGGGTGTAGAAAAGCAAACTAAACCAATGTTAGGTCAATGAAAAAATACTAATAATCATAAAATGTTTGTTTGTTTGTTTGCCTATTTGTTGAGACATTTTTTAAAAACTAATAGTGTGTTAGTTATATATATCTATATATATATTATTTGAAAAAAACAAATACATATAGAGTGTACATATACTGTGTTTTTTAATATAACATTATACTGTATATATAGCATATATATACTGTATATGATATTTGGTGCTCTAATATTACATTAACATAACAATTGAATTGAGTGTATATATATGTTAGTGCGGTTTTTACTGAGAGAAAATCACTTTATAGATGATTACCTGAGCCAGAGTGAGATGACCCTAAAATAGGACGTGCCTTTAAAAAAATAAAATAAAAACAACATTATAGTTAGTGTTAAAAAACCTTTAATATTGTGTGTGTGTGTATGTTTGTGTGTATTTGTGATATGAAACACAAAATTTCAAAAAAAAAATTAATGCCAGAGAAACTTTTTTTCGTAGAAAAATACTGTATATTTATTATTATTATTTTTTGTTGTTGATAATCCCTAAGAAAATAGTTTTATATATTTTATTATTATTATTAAACACCATTTGCTTATGTAGTGTATGGTGTGGTACTGATTAGTGAGAGCACTGGGACTTTTAAAAAAGTTTATTACATTTATTTTACATAATAATAACACACACACACACACACACACACACACACACACACACACACACACTTTATACACGATTTTATGTGTTTTTATTTTGTTTTTTTTAAATTTTATTTTTGTCTTATGTCGTAAACTTTTTTTTTATATTTTGCTTTTTATTTAAAAAAAACTTTGAGATTAAATAATTAACGATTTAACTAATAATATATAATTTACTATATAAATTATCATTATTTTTTTCTACTAATATTAAATGATTAATGTAATAATGGTTTAAAGATTTTATTTATGCATATTTTGAATTGTGATATTAACTTATATTTTTTTAATTAAAAAAAAAGATATAAATATCTTAAATCTTAATGTATGATTACATCATTAGATTATCTATAAAGTTAAATACCAAAAGTGTATTATTTATATAAAGTTATTATATTTTTTGTGTTATTAATGTATTATTCAATAAGTTT